CAGAGGAGGCAGGTTCAGCTCAGGTGGGTTTTAGCAGAAAGGAGCTGCTGAGGGGTCACCACTGGGCTCAGGGGGGCTCCCACCCCCCTCGCAGCATCCCCCCTGGGCACGGGCACTGCCACGAGTGCGCGTGGGGAGCATCTCCCACGGTGGTTTGGTCAGACGGCTGCGCGGGGGAAAAGAGGCTCCAGGAAACGCCGATTGTCTCCTTGGCCGTGCCATGGTGACCATGCCTGGGTCAGCCCTGCAGCTCCATCCCGGAGCTCAGCACCGCACGGCTTTGAAGGTGTAACCTGCTGCCCTCAGGCCTTCATCTTCCTCCATGCAATAATTAGCCGCCAACGAGGTGAGGAACCTGCACCAGGAGCTGATCCAGCACCTGCTCTGCCCCAGGGAGGCTGCAAGGTCACCAGCACCCTCCTGGTGGTCCTCAGGACCACAGTGACAAAGGGGACAGGTGCTTCACAGGAGGGGTTCTACACCAGATCACGCATATCTCCAGCAAGAGCATCCGCTCTGAGGCCTGAACGGCTCCTGAGGGTGCACCACGCTGCTCCTACAGCCTCCCAGATCAGGGAACCCCATGATGTAGGTCACTGGTCAGCACTGGGAAGGGGCAGGCAGCAATCCCAGCTCCCTTTCCCCTCCCTGGAAGGGCCGAGCTCGGTGAAGGAGAACCCTCCTCACCCTGCAGCGGATCTCCCAAGGCCACTGCCAGTGCCCCAGGGGAGCTCATGGCCCCCTCCACTGAGCTGCGTGGGGTAACCCAGTCCCCACAGGGGGCAACTGACCTCTGAGTTCTGGTCACAGCCAGCACACTGGAGGGACCCATTCCTGGCTCACCCTGTGGGCCGGGTCTCCCCTCTGCTGTCTGAGGGGCACGCAGCTGGCCACTCCACCCAGGAGACTGAGCATGCCAAGACGCTGGCCAGTTGGTGCCCCAAGCCTGTTTCTACCTCTCTTCCAGGGATTATCCTTCAGCTGGGACAGCAAGCAGCTCCAGAGACACGTCCACAGCAGAGCCCCATGCCTGGTGGGGTTCAGCTCTTACAGCAGCTTTGCTCAGCCCTTTGGAACCTGTCCAGCATCAATGAAGACGTAAAGAAAGCCAGAGTTGGGCTGTTGCCCTGGAGAATGATTTAGCCCAGGAGGAACCTCTCAAGCCTCTAGTCCAGCCTCCTGCTCACAGCAAAGCAGCCTGATCCAGCTGCTCAGGGCTTCACTTCAAGCCTTGAGTGAAGGAGGGTGGTTGCCCTTCACTCAAGGCTTGAAAATCTCCAGAGACAGACAGATCCCACCGCTCCGGGTGCCTGGCCCAGGGCTGACTGGGCAGAGAGGCTTTTCCCAGCCTGCACCTTGGAAGCCCTAACTTGGGACGTTTGGCACCGACGGAAAGGTTGGCTCCATCTTACTTGGAACCGCCCTTCAGGAAGTCACAGGCTGCTTTTAGACACCCCTCAGCCTCCTCTTGGCAAGACAAACCCAGCCCAGCGTCGACCTCCTCTCCTTGGCCCTGTGTCCAGGTGAGGTCGATAGTCTCCACCAACTACTGTCCAGTCTCTCCGCGTCCCTCTTTACCTGGGGCCATCCCTGCGCTGGGTCCCACAGCTTCCCAGAGCCTGCTGACCACATTCCCAGGGCAAACCACGTACGGGGTGATGTTATGGGACCAGAGCCACCGCTGCCCCATGTTCAGCCTGGTGCCCACCATCACCCCCAGATCCTTCCCTTCTCACCACCCAGCCTCTCCTGATGGAGATTTCAGGCAATTTCGAGTTAGCCGTGCTTGAGGCCACCACAGAAGTTTTACACAGCAGAGCACGATCTCCTCTTCGGTTTTATTTCAAAGTTTAAAAAATTTGCTAAAAAAATACCCCAACAGCTCAGTACCAGTTACAAACGTCTGCAAATCCTCTGAGACATCAGCAAAACCCCAAACTGCGTGCAGAACACAGATCTCACCCCAGGGACCTCTTCTCCACTGCCTCTGCACCTCCAAGAGGAGGTGGCCAGAAGAGGAGGAACAGGCCATGCTCTCAATCTGGAAGGGCAAAGAGCACATTCCTGCCGAAGAGACACTTCCAAAGACTGTCTTTGCCAACAGCCCAGTGAGGAGTCAAAGGAGGACACTATCGGCCAGCAGAGAGAAGATCCCAGCCCCCATCAGAGCCAAGGACAGGGAAACCACATCCCCCACGAGTTCCCAGCAGGAGAGCTGCCCAGGCTGCCCGCAGTATCCGGAGACCACCACTGCAGCCCACAGTCCTCGCTCCGGCTCTCGGCTGGACCTCCTGCTCCAGGCAGGGAGGATGGCTCCGTAAATCCCTTTCCAGCTTCCACTTCACAGCTCCCACTAAGGGCCCAGAAAACCAGGAGGTGGTTTCAACTAGTCCAGCTGCCAAAAAAAGGTCTCAAACGAGGCTCCTTTGGTCTCAGTGCTGTTCTGGCAGTTCCTGTCCTCTTTGCCGGCCCAGGCAAGCTCCGATTTCCGCTTCAGAACCGAGCGGAGCTGGGACTCATACCCACTGTCCCTCACATGAACATGTGTCCTTTGGAGCAAGTCCCTGTCCACAGACTGAATCCTGCCGTCCTGGACATCCGTCAGCGTGGAGAGCAGCTGGACATCCCAGTCTGACTCAGAAGAACTTTTGCTGAAGTCACGATGAGCCCGTGCGTCGCGCGGCCGAGGCTGGAGGAGCCCGGGGCACGCCGCCTGCTCTTGGCCCGGGAGCTCAGGCGGTTCGGGGGCTATTTGTTCTGCTGCTCCGAC